ATTAAAGTGTGCTGCTGAATATGATAATTGCTGCATATTTAGCAATCAGCGTGTGTGTTCTGCTTTTGCCAGGAGGGATTTCTTTCAGTGGAATCAATGGAGCTTTATTAAAAACCATCCAAATTAGAGGGAGAAATGATGAGTGTTATAATAACGTAAAATCACTGTTTCAACTTTCATTGCAAAACCAGGAAAGCAAAATACATCCCTCTTTGTGTATGTAAGGAAAACATGAGGAAAATTCTTTTGAATTGTGAACACTGCTAGAATTTTTAATTTTTACCTTTTGATGCAAAACATAAAAAGTCTGGATGGAGGAAAACATGTTTTCTGTGGAAATGCAGGAGGTCTTGAAGGGTGGGATAATTAGGATATCATAGCAGCAAGCAATTAAGAAGACCCCTTGCATCAACTTCATCCATTTCACATGCAGTTTACTGCCATACGTAACTCACCTCTGTTTTAGCAGCTAAATAAAATGTTAGTGTGTCAGATTGTCCTAAATCTTAAATCTAGTGACTGGCAGTCACTAGAGCCAGGCAGATTGTTGAAATGCAAAAAATAAAATGGATGGATTTTCATTCTTCACCTGTGCGTGAAACATTGGGGCTGGGGTGGAGAACAAATCTGCTTTTACCTCTCTGAGTTTTTCTTCAGTTTTCACTTAATTGAAAACAAAAACCAACTGTGTCTCAGCAGAGGGGAGACCTGGAGGTTAAAGGGCACATTCCGTTATACCATGGCTCTTTTTGGCATGCTGAATCTCAACCCATGTGATTAGAAACGCTCACAGACAAAAGAAGAGCTTTGAGAACAGAGGTCAAGCCAGCATCTGAATCAAATCCTTTAACAGATGATCACAAGGCTATTGAAAAATGTGCTAAGCAATCCGGCAGCACTGTGTGCCATGTTTATACACAGAGTTGCAGGCAAAAGGCAGAACTGGGTGGGATTTTCAAAGCACTTGGGTGTTGGTGGAGCACATGCCTTACTCTGCAGGCTTCCTGGGCTGGATCATGTCTTGTAGTGCTTGTCAGTCATGTAAAACACAGCAGTAGTGTCATGCCATTTTTTATGGAGAACCACCATGCACGTGCTCACTGTCGTTCATACCACAACGGCTGTCCAAACCTGGATGCCTTGCTCCATACAGAACGGGCACAGGAAGCTGTTCAGTCCACTGCTGCTTTTAGCCTGGAATATATACTCCAGGTGGAAGGCAATGTGAGGCAGGTGAGAAGAAACAAAATGCAGCATCTCCCAGACAAAAACATGGCCTCTCACATTTTTCTGCATAGTATTCCAGGTAGCCTCAAGCTTTAGAATGAAGTACATCTTTTTCTGCTTATGTTTCTCTTCTGCAGCCCCAGCACTTTCCTATAGGCAACTCCTTGGTTTGTTTCAAGATACCTCCCTATAGGGGTACTCTACTTGTGCAGTATTTGTGCTTATGCACAAATGTTTGAGTGACCTAAGACATTTCTTCTCCGGTTTGATCTACATGTGCATGTCCACTTTTTTTTTTTTTTTTTTCTTCCCTAGGAACTTAACCTTGGGAGAATTAGCAGGTTGCTTTCTGTTTGCTTATCATTTCTGTGCCTTACAAGCCTCCTCTGAAGCACCCTGCAGTTACTGTGTTTGACAAAGGAACAGCTTCACTGACACCTGTACAACTTCGTTTTGTTTTCTCGTTTTCTCTGCAGTTGCTTATTCTTTTGAGTAGGAATGGGAAATTAAGAACCTACAGATTCCTGTCTTGCAAGGAAATTAAGAACCTACAGATTCCTGTCTTGCAACAAGTGTAGATTGCATTTGTCCCGGAGATGAAGGAGCCCCCAGCCTGCTCCCCTGCTTCTCTCCCTGCCAGTCCCCTGCTACTGCCTGTGGATTGAGTTTTGTGAATTGTTTGTTGTTGTTTTTTAATACAGATAGCTTTCCTTTCCTCAATTTAGGCATGCTGCTGCTCTTCTAATTGCGCTGATGGGATGATGGCTGTTTCTGTGTTTATCTCTCCCCCGTTATTTTTGCATATTCATGTTTTGCTTGTTATTTATTTGAGGCCGCTCTGCTCTAAGAGATGATTTCTTCATAATGACGGGGTTTTTTTTTTAAGTTGATGTAGTTAATTTAAAAATACAGATGTGTGTTTCCAATCATTCGTTCTATCGTGCATTACTGTATGTTTGTGAAACACCATTGCTATGCTCTGCCAGTGCTACTGGGTGCTGATGGCAAGAGCTGAGCAATACCCCTCCTGCCAGCTCCAGCGCCACACTGGCCACTGCATGCTCAGCGTCCCTTTGGCCTGAGTAGGACTGCCAGGCTTTAACTCTTCTGCTACAATTCTGTTGTTTTCTTCCCTAATCACTTTAAAATCACTAAAGATGTGCTTCAAACCTATGCCCCTGTCCTAGGCCAGCTGTGTGCTTCCTGTCTGCTGGGAGGGCGGACAAGCTTGGAATATTTTGATCTTGCTAATTAGTATCTTTAATGCCAATTTTTAGCTTAATAAGTTGTGGAGAGAGCAAGAACCATTGCTTGGACTCAATCTAAAGCATAAATAAATTGAATGAGGAAGGTGCTTCTATTTCCACAACTTCTCTCTCGTTGGGGTAGTATTTTATTTTAGGCACTCTTTTGCTCTCAGCTGAGCGATGCTATGTTTTTACTGCTGCATGGACAGATGGGGGAAGGAAAGAAGAAATGGCTGAGTCTTTAATTAGCGACAGAGAGCCAGAGCTTGCCTTTCCAGAGCGTTGAGGTTTTATATAGGATGGGGAGACTGAGCAGCTTGATGGAACCAAAAGCCCTGTATCCACCGCCGGGGGTTTCTATGGTAACTGGATCCCAAATCATATATACAAACAGAGCCGGTGGGGGGACCTCCTTCTGGCTGGTCTGCAGGAAACCCATCAGTAAAGGGGTGTTTTCAGGCTGTAAAAAGGCCTTGCAATGTAAATATTTTTTTTACTGTCTTGTGAGTGGTGTAAGTTTTGGGATCGCTGCTGAATAATTCTAAATCTGTTCCTGCATGTTGGCTGCCGCTGCTCATGGTAGGTGTGAAAGTAATCACCGTGAAGCTTGCACAGGGCTGTGGGTGCAGGGTGAGTTACCCGGCGCATCATTGCACTCATAAGCATCTGGCTGCTGCACATAGTTAATAACCTCGCTGCTGCCACGCAGGTAGGCTGTATCCTACATGGCTTTTGTGCCAAGCAAACTAAATTATACATTTGGATTTTTCCTTCCTCGTTCTTCATAAAAAGCACAAATTAGGAGGTTCCTCTCTAACCGCTGTACCTGGTGAATTAAGGGAAATTATCAACCTGATCAAATTAGCAGCATGAGAGCAGCCAAAGCGGCCATGACTCAGCCCGAGCGCATGTGTCCATTCTCTCTACATGTTACTTCTACTGGTGGAAAAAATGAATGAATGCTGAATTTAGCCTGCTGCCCTCCTTTTGAAATGTAGAGCAATTACTGTTATTTTTCACTCACCCGAAGTCAGGCACCGCTAACGCAGGGATCATTTCAAATCAGAGGTGGTTATTTCCTGTGGCCACCAGTTCCACAAGGATTCCTTCCTGTTTTGATTCGGATAAAGGGGAGATAGCAAGAAGCCTGTGCTGAATACTCTTTCCTCTTATGAGTGTCTTGGATCCTTAGTGAGTGGTAAGGCACATGATGGTATTTGTCAAGCATAATTCCTGTGCTTTGCTAGGAGCTGGAAGGGATGATGCCTTTATTTGCATTGGACTTATGTAATGCATATGTAGTGGAGAGATTGTACACAAAATTACTGTATGAAAGTAGATAAGACCTCCTACACCTGCGTGCACTACCTGTCCCATTATAGCTTTTAAATCTCCACAGTGAAAATGACTTATTGTGCGTAAATTACAAGGCTAACAAAAATGTGCTCTAACCTGTGGAACGTGCAGCACATGTTAATTTTTGTTTGTTTTTCTACAATCAGGCATTTGCAGAAAGCTTTGTGTGATTTATTCTTTTCTTTTTAATGAATTGTTAAAAATGTTTGAAAAGGCATTAAATCTTCCTTTCTGCCATTAATCTGTAAAAGGGGAAGGGGATTTTAAATGGCCTCTTAGTATATTGCTTTATAAAACTGCTGATTCTAGCAGCACCGGAATAGGAACACATACTAATGTAGGAAACACTGAATGCAGTCAGAGCCTCCTGCATTTATGGAGAAAAAGACTAATAGCTCCATTTTAACAAGGCTCTTAACACTTTGGGCCATCAGCAGGCATTGAGTGAGTGAAATTGGGAGAGTTCCTGTGTGCTAAAAGCATTGAAGTTCACCATTTCGTACTCCAGTTGGAGACTTCCAGCTTAGAATTGTGCTCTCTAGCCCACTCCAGTTGCCATCTTCAAACAAACCAAGCAGTGGGCTGGCATTTTAACTGAGTGCACTAATGTTTCACTTCTGAAACAGCACCAGAGCACACCAGATGCATATAAGTCCCAGATGGATACTTAGATTTGCAGTGGTGTTAAGGGAAGTTTCTGGATTTGTGTTAAGATTGAAAGCAATGCCTGTTTATATCGTGTTTTATACTTGAGAAAAGCACAAGCGTGGAGGAAAACAGCAGACTTGGTACTAAGATGCTTGCTTTGATTCAAGGAGTTACACTGCAGGAATCAGAAGCAGTATGCTTACTTAGATTAGCTCCTCATGTTATTGAATTCTAGGAAGAAAGCCAGTCAGGGAAGGGGAGACAGTATCCCAGCTAGCATGCAAACAAAGAGAAGTCTTGAAGATTGTACCTGTTCTAAACAGCTCTTTGATACAGAAGCCTTTCTTGTTAGCAGTGATAAGATTATGTATGGGATTTGGAGCTTCTTTGAGCCCCTACCTTTCTTCTGTTGATTTTGGCATATTGTAGCATCATATGTTCTCTGCTTATCGTTTTGAGATGCATTGTTAGTAGCTGGGGTGCATAATTGATCTTCATGTCTAATTACTCTCCTCTCTGCAGGTTCCTGGAAAAGGTCCAGATGGGAGCTCATACAATCTCCACTTCGAAGGGATGGAAAGGCAGTATGCATCTTTACCCAGGTACAGTGCTAAGCCTTGTACCTCTCACTCTCTGATTTACCCTCCCTCCAGTGTGTAGGGAAATCAGCCTAATCCCTGGCTCTTGCATGAGACATTATATTGCAATTTCATCTTGTCACCTTTTCTGCTGATGTATTGCTGTCTTTGTAACTGTCCTAATTAATTGAACTTTCAGTTTTAAAAGAGAAAGTCTCTCTCGCTGAACATGTCAGCAAGAGCCGTGATCCACTTGTAGAGAACGTGACATTGAGGAAGCTGGCTCTGCAGTGATTACAGCAGGTCACAGCAGAGCATAACTAACAGAGTTTATAGTGATGAAATCCATCTGGCAATGATGGAGTACTGCTGTGGAAAGTCTCCACTGCGGCAACCACAGCTACTGAAGTCCCATGTTGCTGCAAAGTCCCACTGAGTAGAAGTCCTATTCCTGTAGAGTTTCTCTGTGCCTAACTGAACCCTGTGGAAATAAGAACCAATCCTCTGAAGGCTTTTTCAATTTTTAATTCTTATCCAACTCAGTCAAAAGTAATTCTAGCTGAAACCAGTGGGATATAAGAAAAAGAAAGCATTTCACAGATTTCAGTCCCGTTTCTATGGGACTTCTAAACAGCATAAGATGTAACAAGCTAGAAAAAAGAGTGAGAGAACACCAGAAGAGAAGATGGGAAGAAAGCTAGAAAAATAGAAAAAATTCTCCCTGTAGAACCAGGGGGCTGGGAAAAACCTTCACAAGATTGCACAGTCCAATTCTTGGACTTCCTAATCAGGTAATTTATAAAAACAAAGCAAAAATAAGCATGAAGAGATTCTTAGATGTGAAGTTGTGCTGACATGTAGGAAATCAATGAGTAGCCTCTTTTTCTTCTTTTTTTCTCCATTGGTCTGTTTGCATTCATAGGAGTTACAGCAAAGTTTGACTGACAAATATGTAATGCTGTGTTCTATTCAACACGAAAATAAAAAGAATATCTTACTTTTGGAAACCCATGCATAGAGGCTTTTTCACACACACACAAAAAAACATTATTAGATGTTTGTAGGCATTTTCAATGTGTGATTTTAAACCAAAAGTCTGTCTGTAGTCTAGCTACTGCCTTCAAACAACAGTATTTGTCAGCCTTTGTTTTGGAACTTGTTCCTGTGCACTTACTGGCTTATGTAGCACTTTTTTAGCTGTGTCTTACTGTATTGGTTAAAGAAACATCTTCTTTCATGGTCCTTCAAAACTCACATCTCCTGTCATCCTGTCATCCTGTCATGTTGTAGCAGGGATTTTTGCAGGTTGGTTCTCTGTACTTCAATGTAGTCCTTGTAGTCCTTTTTTTTTTTTTTTTAATCTACTTTAAATATGTTGGTTACTTCCTTTTGAATTACAAGAATGAAATAGTAATTGCTGCCCAGTGTAACTCTCTACAGCCATTTTTCACATTCCCATATCATATCTCCTTTTATTCATCTTTCCTTCTAATGACTCGGTTTAATTTTTGCAGTCTTTACAAATGAAAATTTTCCAGTGAAGTAACTTTCATCACCCTGAACTCTCTTTGTATCACCAGTATTCCTTTCTGAGCTAGAATACCCAGTAGTGAGCAGAATCCTGCGGATGCAGGCACACACTTACTTGATGTAGCAGCAAGGCGTTCTGTGTATTCCGTCTGTTCCTGTTCTTTTGCACCCTCAGTGTGTCCCCTAGGTGTATGGTTCCCTGAGGCACCCTGTGTATTTTCAAGGTAAATCTGTCTAATCATAAATCTCCGTGTTCTTCCTGAAACTTCAATTTGAAGGAAACATGACACTCTCAGCTCTTCACAGCTCTTCTGAAAGGTTTGAGCGTTTAGCTGGCTGGGACTCACCATTTAGGAAGTCATCCAGACATTCAATAAGCTTTTGGAGATCAGTGTGAGAAGAATATTGTTTGTTAGTGCCTAAGAAGATTATGCTGCAGTGAGATGGAGCGTACATCAGATGGGTTATGTGCAGTGCCCAACCTGAAGGCTCACACTGTCACATGTAGGCCTTGTCACTTTTGCGTATGCAAGAGCATTTCCATCTGGACAGGAGCAGAGCTTTGGGATAGCCTGACTTTGGATGTGCCTGCAGTTGAGCAATTGGCTGTTGTGTTTTATGCTTACATTTTGTAAGTTTTGCAGTTTCACATTACTGCAGTAATTAGGCCCTGACAGTCACAAATGACTGGATCGCTACAGTGAAGTCTACATCCAGAAGAAGTGGATGCAGTCTCATTGCCAGCCACTAATGGAAATGAGTGATTTCTTTTTTTCTCGTGGCTGAATGCCCAGGAGTGTAGAGAAATCCAGGTAAAAGCCACCTATTTGCCAATCTATTCTCAGTGGAGCATCTTGAACACTACTGTAATGTACAGCATCAGAAGACAGACGGAGATGGAAAAGGAAAGAAATAGGTGGGGCTACTGAGGTAGCATCTCCTCAAAGAATGCCATTCTTCTCCCCAGCATTCTCGTAGTTCGTGATTGTTGTGTCCTCCTTGTCTTGTCCTGTCCTCATCTTGGTCAAACCACCTAGCTGTATATGGTATGGAGGTGGCATATAATTGTCTATGAATTTATTCACCTAAGTCCAGTTTAATAGGAGATATTTAAGGAGGATCAGATGAGGGCTGTATTGCTATACAGCATTGAGTCTGGGAGGCTCTGAGCTTTGCCTGCCTGTCTGGCATGGCACAACACCAGGAAGGAGAGGAAAGTGCTGTGGCTGCTTCTGATTTCCCTGGAGGAGAGTGAGGAGGGAATCTGTGCAGTGTCAGGAGGAAGTGGGACCTGCACAGTGAAACTGTTCTGCTTACCTGAAGCCAGCAGAAGCCATGCCAGCGTGTGCATGGACAGACAAATCAAGGAGGAGAGCTTTGGTTTTCCTCCCCACTGAGCAGGCAGGAAAGATCATCTGCCAAATAGCTTTATGAGCATGCGGTGCCTGAAGGCACCACCCCGTTCAGTGCAAAGGCACATGAAGGGGAAGATTGTCAGCAGCATCTGCACATCTTTGCGCTGGGTTGTAAAATCTCATCGTTAAACAGCATTGCTGCTTTGCCCTTTTGTATTTCTCTGGCTTTCTCTGAAGCTGTTAATTTGAGACTAGATATTATGGGCCAAATTCAGATGCTGTATTAACCATATTTGAGGAATTCTGCTGTGTTGCATGTGCTTGCCTTCTCAATATATGTCACAGCAGATCCAGTGCTCCAGTCTCACTGAGCTCAGTGACACTCTTTTCGCCTCTGAACGCAGGATCTGTTCCTCTGTAAGGTTATGTTTTTAATTAACAGCTGAAAACAGGAGGCAGCAGCCTTTGGAGGAAGGCTTTGTATGTGACAGGTTTAGTGAGCGGCCAGATGAGTTACCTAGTTAAGTTTCAAGCTAAAATAGTGCCAGTCTGTACACTTTGTTTGGAAATGTCTACAGAGCCAAACATCTGAATTGGATGATAAATGGCTGTGGCAGGAGAGTGGCAGGTCTTCAGCTTACACTGCATTGTGCTGTTCCATCTGTAGAAAAGAAGCAAAATGAGAAAGACAGAATGGAAGGCTTTGCAAGAGAGATACAGTTCTTTGCACTCGGTGCTTGCGTATTGCCCTGGGGCTAAGGCTAAGTAGTGCTGAATGGTTTTATTAAGCAATGTTAAATCCCCCCTGCTTAGGAGGAGAATGGCTTGATTCTTATACGCCTTAGCCTCCTCTTTTGGCAAGAGGAGCATGACAGGGGTGTGGAAGACAGAAAAACATTAGTATTTCTTAAACTATTTTTAACGACAGTTTTCTTGGTGTAATCCAGAATATTTTCCTGATAGAAGCATGGAATGGATACTAAGATGAAATTGCTCTATTTGTTCATAGTTTTATTTTTGAACTTGCTTGTATGAAAGCCTGTCTTAATGTAAATCACAGGCTTGCCAATGGCAGCCTTGTTCAGAAGAATCTTGTGTCTCCATACTTATTCTTTGCTGTGGTGATGGAAAAACTGGCTGTAACCAAAAGCAGACTCTGTCAGATGCTGAGATGGGACGCTGCTGGCATGAGTGTAAACAGAAAATTCATTCATCTTGCTGGTAAGAAATGCTGATTCCAAAAGAAATCTAGTATTCCTGACTTTCTCTGGAATCCTCCTGTCACTGAAAAACATACATTTTGTCAAGAAAAGGGGTGAAACTACACTGAGGATGTCACAAACTAATTACCAGAACAAAAAATGAGTTCAGGCTGTGTAGATGAGTTCAGCTCTATTGCTGTGGCTGGGAGGAGACCATTAAGCAAGCTAGCAATTGGCTCAAGGAATATCTATCTTGAATGCAGCATCCACCCTGAAAATGGGAAGTCTGCAAATGTTTTGAAGAAATGGTTTTGCAGTACAGTAACATCCATGTCGTCTTGTCATGCTGGAAGTTCCTCTTCACCTCAACCATGTAGCTCGCACTTTTTCACGCAGTAGCTAGAAGAAGCACAGCTGCCATTGTTAGATTTGAAACCACAAAGGAAACTTTAAATGCCTTATCTGAGCCTTCTAAGCTCTCTACCTTTCTGCTTCAGACTAAATTTTGATTTTGAATTTTATTTTGATCCATCATGTCACTTTTATAAATGTAATGAAATTAATTAAAATTTCCAATAGTGGAGAATTTGTCACGTTCTTCAGAGCATAATCATTTTGCTCTTTTTAGAAGTTTATTTCTTTTTTTCCTAAGTATGAAGTTGTTGGTTTTCCTTTTCCAGACACTGTACGTTTCTACTAGATTCTAAGAGCCAGGTGGTCTGCAAAACCCCTCTCCTTTGGTAGCTGTATGCGGTGATCCTTTATGTTATCTTTTAACCTCCCTCTCAGTAAATTAAATAATTGAACAGTTAAGTCTTTCAGTATAGAGCATGAGAACAGCATTGACTCAGGAGACAGGAATCCCCATGCAGACAAATTACAAGGTAGCCTCCAGAGTCAAGTCAAAAACATTTCCAACTGTTTGGATCAAAAGAAA